CTTTCGTTGTGCTAGATACAGACTTCTAAGATGGAAGTAAGATCCTTCTTCCTCTCTAGCAAGTGATCTTGACACAATTACCCAAGCATCTTGATTTTAAAAGGGTGAAAGTCATTTCGCCTGTTCTGCAGCCTCATTGTGAAGACACTTCCCTTAGTAGTGTATCCCATCTGCATCAGGCAGTGCAGTGCTTCAGGCTCCATCTATCAGCTCTTGTGCCAGGGCTCTAAGCACTATATTATTACTTAAAATGCTCACCCCATCATAATATTTCTCCTCCTCCAAAGAAGACTGAGTGCTCTGGACCTGAAATGGGTGGAAGAGTGTGGCATCGTTGGTGAACTCCAACTGAAGAAGTTGAAGACTTGCCGTGGAGATAGAAAGAAACATAACTGGATCATCTTCTGAACTTTGATGAAACAAGGAAATGTTATTTAAGCAGAAGAATAGTTTCCATGAAGACTCCCTTTCCCTCTGCACTGAAAATAGTGAGAAAGTAGATGGTGTTTTGGGTAGACAGGACTAGTTATCTATTGTTGAGAGCCTAGCTGGGCTGGATCCCATGTACTTTCCTACCTAGATATCCTGAGTAAAGGAACGTGCAGTTAGTGCTATTGGGATCCTGGTGTAAATCAGGTCTACTGGCAAAAGACACTGGAGAAAAACGCTGAGAGTGCTAAGGGCAAAACACCGATATGGGTATGTTCCTCCTGATGTGCAAATCTGACTGACTGTCTCCTGCTCATAAGAACAGGAGCTGCAGGCAGGGATGGAAAGGTTTTCCACCCTGAGAGCCACAAACTGAAATCTTGATAAGGCCTGCCTCACCTCTATGAGCTTTGGACAACCAAAGGTGCTCCATCCCTCCTCTGCCTCTCCCTTACCCGTCTCCAGGCAAAAATATATTGATGGTAACAATGGGACTGCCTATGTAGAATTTATAATTATCAGTGTCAAGAACGCTCAGGGTTAAAGCCAAGTCCTTGGCATTACTTGCACATAGGACCTCGGTCATGGTAAAAATTAACGATGCATCTTCATTTCCTTGAGGAATCAGGTTGAGTAACAATAACAGTTGGTAGCCAAGCTAACCACAAACTCTTGGCAAGTTGTGAAGCAACTGCAACTTTCGTAATTTTATTCCATTCATTTTCTGCTTTATGGCCAGAAGTTCATAGACACACCAGAAACTCAACTATCAGTTTTTCCTACTGCAAGAACAGTTCCCTTATAAAAGTATGTAGAAAATAAAAAGCTATCTCAATTTTCAGAGTATGTATTTAAGGGAAATCATTTGTAGGCATGTTTTCACATGCATATATTTCTATGTGTGTCTGTGCAGGTATGCACATGTGTACACTTCTGTATACTTAAGAAATTAATATAAAAGTATTAAAAATCACATCACTAGTAACTAAACTGAGGAACCAATAAGTGATTAAAATATTTCATTATAATTTTGATACTAAATGATATGTAAGACATTATGTCATTTGCATGGATCTTGGTCAATTAGAAATATTAGTCATTCAAAATAGCAAATGTATCATAGCCTATCATGATGTACTTCAGATATCATATTAAAATATTGCATGAACAATCTTTGCTTGTTAACTGAAGAAAGCTGTGAAGTAAAATATGATCTGAAAAAGTATTTAGCACTGGTGTCTTTGAATACTTATTGGGCATGTCAGCAAGTGACGGTGCAATGAAAGATCAGTATCACTAGACCTTAGAGATTGTGCTGAAACTCCTCAGTTCTTCATTATACGGATTTATGAATTCAGTTTTACTTGGGTTTTGCTATTGAATAAATCACAAAACAATGTAAGTTGGAACGGGTGTTTGGAGACCATCTGGTCCATCTATCCCTCCAGACAGCCTGTTTCAAAGACAGATCAAGTTACTTAGAGTTTTTTCCACTTGAGTTTGAATATCTACATGGGGCTCAAGATTCTATAAATTCTCTGGGTCCCCATTCCAGTGTCTGATGACCTTCATTGTGAGAGGGTTTTTTTCTTTATATCTAATTGGAATTTATTTCATTGTAATTTGTGTTTGTTACTTCTCATCCTTCCACTGTGCACCTCTGAGAAGAGTGTGGCTGCATCTTCTCTTGAGCTACCATTAGGTAGTTGTGAACAGCAATTAGACAACCCTTAGCCATGTCTTCTACAAGCTGAACAAAGACTAGTCCTTCAGTCTCTCCTCAAATAGCTGATCCCTCAGTCCAAACTCTCCAGGCTTCCAAAAGAGAGAAATGTTATGTACACTCTACAGGACCCGGAGATGGTGTAGCCAACAAGTTGGTTCTTGCCCTACTAAGCACTGGTGTGTGTCCAGAGTACCTTGGGAGTATCTTCAAAGCAAAACTTCTGGTTTGTTTTCCTCCTAAGGAATCTAGTTTGCACGTATAAAAACCTCTCTGCAAACCATATTAGCATGAAGTCACAGAGGACCATCAAAGGTTACTTCAAAACCGCACAAATGCAATTGTAGACCTCACTGTGGACACCACTGAAGAAATGTCAGTGTTCACCTGTGGAAAAAAAGGCAAGGCAAATGTCAGGAATTGAGGGGGAAAAGGAACTGAAAACAAAAGAGTAACTATGATTAGACACTACAAATCCAAGATGCGTTTTGGACATTGTATGCTATTCTAGACAGCCCATTCCCAAAATGATGTAACAGAACTCAAAAAATATGATAAATGTACAACAGGAATGATCCACTGAAATAGCTGCGTCTATTTGAAGGCTTATCTGACAGATGTGGCTGACAGAATCCCTCTTTTCACTGCGGGAAAATAGATGGACAAGGGGGAGTGTAAGAAAAGACCACAGCATCAGTAGTGATGTAGAGAGGTGCAAATGGAATATTTATGTGTTACTTCCCATGACAGAAAAAGCTGAGACCATCAGCTGGCAGACTGAGAGCAGATAAGCAAAAAATGAATTCTCACCTAGGATACAGTATGTGGTCCTGTGGAAGCCAGAAGTACAAGAAAATCAGCTGGAGTCACGGAAAAATGTTTTTTCAGGAGGTCTGCAGCCTGAGGGTCAAGAGACAGCCTCTGGCACTGAATTTCCCTAAACTGGTGCATTTTCCATCAGCTGGAAGCATGTAACCATGATGCACTCGCCCTATTTCTGCACAGTTTATGCCCTTTACTTAGGCATTCTTAGTGGCCACTGGCCACTAAGCCAATGGATATTAGTTTTAGTTTCATATGTCCATTCCGTGTTTTTATATTCTGTATTTATGGAACAGAAAATAAACTAACTGAGAGGGCAGAGAAGCAAGCAGATGTTTTGTATTGCGATGGATTATGATGCTCCTAAGCATGAACAGTTCAACGTACGTCCCAAGATGTTTGACATATACCATGGTGGCTTAACGTGTCTTACACAAACTGGAGTGTCACAAGAGGTATTGCACAAATAACCTGGGATTTTCCAGAAGAAAAGTTTCAATAGGCTCAGAAAGAAACCCAGTTTTTTCACTGGGAAATGAAAAGCAACTTGATTTTGGTTGGATCAGAAGTCACTAAAAAAAAAAAAAAAAAAAGATAATTTTTTGATTGGCTCAATGTGTGCTTGCTGAGAAGAGAAAGAAGTTGTCACTCCCCTTAGGAGACACGTTATAAACGAGGGTCTCAGCCCCACCACCAAAGTCCTCCGGAGGGAAGGGACCAAAAGCAGATCTTGTTTGGCATCTGGGCTCACCTGATACCTGGTAACTTCTCAGTTCTTTTCAGTCTTTCTTTCAATGTCTGCTGCTGTCTTTTCCTCAAAAAAAAAAAAAAAAAAAAAAAAATCCCACCAAAACCAAAACCTCAAATCTCTGCATTATTAACCTAAATTTGTAGGTTACTAAAAAAGGTTAATCTCAGTTTTCCAGAAACCGAGATTAGTTAGCACAAATATTAGTTAACTGAGATATTAGCACAAATATGTGCTAATAACTGAAATACTTTTATAAAAATACTCTGCTTACTAACTCCTAGAAAAAAATCTGGCTGGGTCAGGTTACTTTAGAGATATCTGTGGTCCGGAAAAATTGGTGGTCCAGTATACATTTTTCATCTATGTCTCTATGTTAAGAACTTTATTTCATTTTCAGAATTGTTAACTTTGCCTACTTGTTCCTTCTGATATTTGCAAATATATAGGAATTTGTGTAGACTTTTAATACTAATTTCAAAGCTGGTTTGGGCCACCCTCTACTATTCCATGCAGAAATATGACATTTCAGCACTACCTCATTTCCCTTCCTTAAAGGAATATAATTTGTGACAGATCAGAAAATTCTCTAATGCCAAGACATATGACATTGACTACCTCTTCTTTATTCATAAGCCCCATTCTAGGCTATCTTATCCCATTTTCCTGATATTAGTTCAATTATTAACTCTTTCAATGAAGGCATTACATGTTTTCTTTTCAAATTTCATTTGTGAAATGGGAATTGATTTGGTTGTATTTGGTTGTACATTCTTGAACTGCTGCCTGCAGACTAAGACTACAGATTTTGAGCAAGCAGATTTTAGCTGTTATTTCTTGATAAATTTTAACATAGCAAAATGAACATTATTTTTTTTCCTGAAGTTTGTAAGTTTGACTGTATAATCACGTCATTTTGCTTAGTGCTGTTTATTTATTAGATAAAACATTTAACTAACAATAAAGTCATGGTTGCATTTTGGCTAAGAACTATTTGCAAAATGTGAAAGAAATCCAAGCAACCAAACTATTAAAATAACTTCATGATCATATATCCTGAGAGCATGTTACCCTGTATATATTTACTTTCCCCAGAAATCCTCACACAGTAGTCATGACGTCATATTCATCTTACTGGTTATTTCTGAAAGTTTGAGGAAACAGGCAACATTTTGATTAACACAGTATTTGTACAGTTCAGAAGACTATAGATCCCAGGGACTATCTGTCATGCATCTTTCTTGGTCCTTCCTACAGTGACACAGCAAATCGACAGTCATGAAGATCCTTTACCTGCTCTTTTCTCTCCTCTTCTTGGCACTCCAGGTTTCTCCAGGTAAGATGGAAAAGAGATGTTAGAAGGGACTTTTTATGCACCCAAAGTAAAATTCCCAGCACATTTTAACCACTACTGGTTAAAATTGCTAGAAATCGAACAGGAGTTAGTCAAACAGCTCAGTGTCTGTGCTCCCCTAAGAAAACTGTGCCAAAGGTGGAGAAATTATCACTTCTGAAGAAAAGTGATTTTTCACTTCTGGTATCTTCCTAAAAAGATCATGCTAAATGCTCTGATGTTAGACACCTGAGATGTTGTCTGTGGTGGCCATGATCTTTGGATAACAGCACACTCAGCAGATGAAAATGAAGCCTGGCCAATTATTTTTGGATAGGAGGTAGAATAAAAGCCTCTGGACTCGTGACTCTTCCATAAGGTCAAGAGATCTGTGTCATTTTCCACCTGGACTTTAAGGTCATGTATTTAGATGTGCTATGTCCTAAGTATCCCACCTCTGCAAGTTGTAGACGTGCTTTGTGATCTCACCTCTTACGCAGCTTTTCAACACGGCCAAATCTGGGCAATAGTCCTTAAGGCAAGTTGGTGGTGAAGGCAGCTCAACAAATGGGAAACCCTGCTGACATTACAACTGCATTGCCCTGCCCTGAGAATGAGAGGGAAGACAATTTTTTGTTATCATTGCAGGTTTGTCTTCACCCCGGCGGGACATGTTTCTTTGTAGAAAAGGGACCTGTCACTTTGGAAGATGTCCCACTCATCTGGTTAAAGTTGGAAGTTGCTTTGGGTTCCGCAGCTGCTGCAAATGGTGAGTTTGGCATTCACCAAGAATTGTCTATAGTATGAGCAGACAAATCTATTTTACCTGTGTCCTTAAACCCAGGGTGTTATTGAAAGTTTAGATTGAATATAATGAAAAAACCTGATTATACCATGAGGACTGCCAAGCGTTGAAGTAGATTGAGCTCCACGGTGCTCTTTCTCCTGCGGTGCACCATGATCTGCCCCAGCAAGAAGGATAAAGTACGATCGGGGATGTCAGCCTTGTGCTGTCCCAGCTCTGTTTGACCCCTTTACAGCTCTTATGCCAGAACAAAATATTAGGGTTCAGTATTTGCAGAACCAGGCTGCTGTGCTGCATGGAGAACAGAGGGGAATTCAGTGATGCTGCAGGGTGAACACAGATCTCCGAGTGCCATCAAATGTGTGAAAAAGGTGTAATGGTGTTGTAAAAAGAAATTATAATATGAAAGGTACCCTTCTGTTTTTACTGAGGAATGAATGCATTCACCCTGATATCAAGGGGTATCAATTTAATTCTCTGTTTTCCTTGAAGCAATAGGAAAACACTCTTCCTGCTCACAGGTATGAGTGCATAGGGCTGTCCCAGCATGGCTACACATGACATGAGGTATTTTGGAAAGTGTTTATACTCAAGAGGAAAATATGCATGTACTGAGAGTAAGTAGGAAGAGAATACAAGCAGAAAGAGAATCTGAATATTTTCTTTTCTTTTTTTTTTTGTGCAGGCCATGGGATGCATAAAAACTTCATGGACCATCCCTTCAAGAGCGATGAAAATTTCTTCTAAGCCTAGAAATTTGCTTTTAATCCTCTTACTGCTAAAACTACTGGATCCTCCTACAAAGTCTAATGCACCTTTCATTTTTAATGCAAAAAGCTTTATGATGTAGACTAAATCCAAATGTATTGTGCATTGCTTTCCCTTCTTTTGAATAAATTGTTGTTGCTTAGCATTCACATCACTGAAACATGGGTGTCTGTTGCATGGGCTGAGGGCGATAATCGTTGGAGGGCAACAATTTACAGCGCAAACTGTCCCTTAGTTTGAGCTTTTCTGAGACATACAGCTGTCCAGGGCTAGACAGACATGGACTGAAGACCTTACCCTCCAGTACCAAGAGATAGACAGGCTGGAAGAAATCTGCTTCCCTTTCAGGAAGGTATTCAGATGCCAAAATGCTTTTTTTTTTACTATGTAAAAATCTTTTCTTGGGGAAAGAGAAATAGAAATAGCTAAAAACCCAGACAACCACCATTCATTAGAATGTTGGCATGTGAGAGTCAATGTTCTGGCTTCTGGAAGTTGCCCGTGAGCATCCCGGGAAGGATGTAAGCCTATTTTCTTTTTTTTTTAAATAGTTTAACAATGTATGCCAGATCTTTTCTCTCCAGAAGTTGTTTGTCCTGTAATTTCACAGCAATGGATGTAAGTTTTGCTTTTATTTCCCTACCTATCCTTCTGAAAGGATGCATAAAAGATAATAGATGGAGATTCATTAGCACCTCTCCCACACCCACCACCATATGGCACACTCCCTTCGGTTCTCTGTAGGGATGCACAAATTTCTGAAAAGTTGTTCAGGAGGGGATTTTGTTTGCCTGCGAAAATAGCAGCATTTACCCGGCTTATGGCTATTTGTTTGCACTTCTTAGCAAAGAACAAACTTATCCTCAGGTGTCCCATCCAACCTCCAATCCTCTGTGGCATAATTTCCTATACTTGATACACGGTGATAGTTAACATAACTCAAAGTCTTTGGAAAACAGGTGTTTGGAGGAATGTATGCCTCGACGAGTTTTAGACTCTGCCTGATGCCAGTTGACAGTCTGGCCCAGTCATGCAGTAAGACAGTTGTCAGGGTTTGCTCACACAGCAAAGGAGTCTGAGATGGTACAGTTGTCCCTCAGAGGGAACATATCTAGAAGAGGCATCTAACATGCAATATGGCCATGCCTTCAGGCAAAATCTCCTGCTTCAGGCCTCTTCTCAGTGCATTTACAGCAGCTAGAGTATGTCCACTCTCAAAAATCAATTCAAAACTTATTGGGCAGATCTATATCTCCGAGCATCATTTCATTTTTTTTCTCTTTGGTGTAGGCTGTAGACTTGCTCTCTATCTGACACAGCTAAGAGTAAAGCAAAGAGAATGCATAGGGGCCTTATGGTTGAAAGCAAGTCCAGCATTCTGTATTAAAAGGGGAAAAAAGACACCAGAACAGAGACAAAGCAGAGAAAATCTCTGCCTAGAAACATGAAGGTGATTTTAGTTGTCATCATGGCAGAAGTTGTCAGTTTTGCTGAGAAAGGCAAGTGTAACAAGCAATTAGCTTACGAAAAACACAGTTGTTGACTATTCCTTAATCAGCAGATAAGCAGGATAATCATATCATATCATATCATATCATATCATATCATATCTTATTTTATTTTATTTTATTTTATTTTATTCACTTTTAGGCCAAATACATTATGAAAATGTGACATCTAGTCTTCTCTTCCTTGTAGGATTTCTTACACTAGTGTTCAATGATGTTGATGAACTATACAGAGAAGACCCTTAGAACATCTGATTTATGACATTTTAAACTACAGATTTTAATTTTTACAGTCCTGTAACAGACAAGACTTGCAAGAGGTCTTGATTTTTCCACAACAGCTCATGGAGACCAGGCAGAATACCACACAGCACTAGAAATGCCAACGTTCAAGCAACTGAAGTCATCCTCAGTGGCCTCTTGGTTCTCCTGACTCTATTGACTGCAATGGCAGTCTAGTAACCATTGTGTCTGTAGTCACCTAAATTAAGCCAGAGGAATTAAATCCCCCGAAATGTGCTGCAAGAAGTATATATTGTGGAAGATACACTATACGTACTTCACAGGTCGCATAATATTTGGTACCGAAACATTTCTTCTTCTCTCAGCCCCTCTCTTACCTCTTGCAGTTCTGCCTGAACTTGTCTAAACAGTTAATATTCTCTCAAGTAGCACCTCTTGACAATGTAACCTTACGCGGTTATGTCAGGGAATGAAGCACACACCGTGGAAGTCGAGGAC